TTTTTTTTTTTTTTTTTTTAGGGCTGCCTAGTTGAGATTTGATTTCCAGATGTGATATTTTCATTTTTAGTTGCTTTAATATTTCGGAGAGTGTATATAGTGATGCCAAAAGTTTGTCTAAAACTTTAATTTTAACATATCAAACATGTACATTTTAAAACCTTGGTACAAATCTCCTTAATCCGACTGAAGTCAGCTATGAGCATGTGAGGCCTTCCAGTGGCATGCTGCGTTTTGCAACAGCTTGATACTGTAACGTACTACGATGATGCCTCTGGTTGTCAGCAGTTATAACTGTGGCCGTTGTCTGGTGTGCAGTTTGCACAATACACTCTTGCTTCGAAGGCTTTGTCAATGCTTTGAGAATTTAGTACACGGTGTTGAGCAACTTAATGTTTACTACAGTGTCCATTTGAACATTTCAAAACAAGTTTTTTTTTTTTTTTTTTTTTGAAGGAACTGAAGAATCTTGAGACTGGAAACTTTTCCTATTTATGGCAACCCAGGTATTATTTTCAAACAGCCAGCATTTTAAAAAAAATCAATAATTTATTGATCTGTCTTTCAGGCCCCATAGAAATGAAAGGCCCGAGCAGATGGAACACCACGACAATAGTGGCTGGAATGAGTGTGATGTAAGTTAACAATGTGTAAACACACCTGTGAAACAATGTTGTTTGTATTGTGAAGTAAGGAATACACATTGTGCCTGTATTTTACCTGTAACTACTGACTACTTTATTTCAGATTTGATTAGATGTAGAATCTGGGTGTGACAAAGTGCCTTGATTATAAATAAGTCATTACGTCAAAGGTTGTGTGTGGTAATTTCCCCTACCCTTTTGCCTCTTTTTTTTTTTTTATTTTATTTTTTTTTTTATGTCATTTTGTGCACCAGATCCGATTAAACTCTTTTTCTCTCTTTCAGTTTGCTGATTCTGACGGTGATGAATCTGGGTCTGTTTTTTAAGTTGTGGGCCATGGAGGATGTAGCCCACCGCATGTACCTAAGCACAAAGCATCGGCTGAGGGAGAGGAGCGAGGCAAGGTCGGATAACTTTCTTTGCAACTAGCATATATACAGTGTATATATATATTTTTGGGGATCTTTCCTTTTGATTTATAATATATATAATAATCAGTAACTGTATCAGCAACTGCCATCATCACTCAGAAAGCAGAAGTCTTGGTGTGGGTGGAGAGGGGGAAGGGGTTTGTCTCTTTTTTTTTTTTTTTTGTCTGCATCGTTTAAGCAGCCCACATACAAGAGAGCTCTTGTTCTAATGACTCACAGTGTTGAAAGTGCCTGTTTGTCAGCCTCAGTAAATGTGGTTATGTAAGTGAGATAGTCTTACATCAGTGCCATTCTTGGACCTCTTCTTACATTTCCTTCACTTTGTTTCTGTCTGTTTTTATGTCTTCTGCCTTTTGAATGTAAAAAATGTAAATATCATAGTTTGCACATAAGAATAATATCCTTCTTTCTGTTTGACAGCTTGGCCTCCGAATATGGTCCCAAACAGGGACCAGGATATAGGACCAGAGAGGATGTGCAGCTGCTAAAAACTGTACTTCAGGACTCCATCAACCTTTTAGAACAGGTAGGATCGGCTGCTTAAGCTGCAAATGCACTACATAAATGAGACGTTTGATTGTAGCTCCAGTTTTGGCCCGGCTTTGTGCAAAATAGAGTTGCGTGTCAGCGCTCTGGATGTAAATCTTTCACAAATTATTTACTGGGAATTGTTGTTATGTGCCAGTTTCCTTTTTCTTTCCAGGAAGCTGCTAGTCTAGGCCGGACTTGTTACTTCCTGGAATCTGTGCTAGTTGTCTGGCAACTGCTCAGAACCACGAAATAGTCCACCACCTAACCCCTGTAAAACCCCGAATTTACATGTTTTACACTAAGCTTTCTGTAAGGGTTAAACAAATGACATAGAAGCTGTTAATCAGTGCGCTTTAGAGGTGCTGGTACATTGATTTTGTTAGCTTTGGACAGAGCGAGTCTGATAACTCTTTTAAAAGGATGGATGTGTTGAGGTCAACTGTAAATTTACTTAGAAATGTAGTTAGGATCTATAAATGAGAAGAGATTAAAGTGTTTACTGGACTATGAGTTTAAAAATTAATTTAAAGAAGTTTCATTAATTCTGCTTAAAAAGCGCAGACTTGCATTTCTATCATACAACCACCAGGAGTCCATCACATAAATTCATAGCCGTCTTGTAGGAGGTGTTTGTAGGTGCTGAGTCAGTTCTTCTTCTCTTCACAGCTCCGGAGCTCTCTGGTGGTGCTACAGCAAAACTTTGCTCTGGCCAATCTCACAGCTGCACCGCAGTGACGCTTCCACACCTGGTGACTACAGAGTTGCTCCTTCCTCCTCCTTCCTCCTCCTCTTCTTCCCTTTCCGGCCCTGTGGGGGAAAACTGCAACAGTGAACTCCCTCTGAGGAAATCTCTGGTATCCAGTGACATTGCCATGTGGCGTTCCCCAGACACCTGACATCCCTTCGTGTTGCCTGGGGTTACACGTCCAAGAGCCTGTGGTTGGGCATCAGGTGCCAGGATGTTTTTTTTTTTTAAAAGCTGTGGACCGACTGCTTGCGAGGACATCAGGGTCAGCCGCACACGGAGAAGTGGGTTTAGATTTCTGTAGGGTGCTATCGTCAGCTCCCCTCGGCTGGCTTCTTTTTCAATCTTTTCCTTTAATAGTGGCAAAAACATCTTTCCTATATTCAGATGAGCCTCATGCCATGATGAGCTATTGTAAATACTTTTTACTTTTGTTTTATTCAAGTGAAGTGAATCAATATTATTTAAAACTACTTTTTTTTCTCTTTACACTTTTGCACATTTTTTTTTTATTTTGCACAAATGCCTGTAGATTAGGCTGTGTTTTAGATGTTTTGGATTTTTATTGTTTTCCAATAAAAATTGTAGAATCAGTAACTCAAATTTTGAAGGTTTGTCCTCTTTTGTAATCATGATAAATTCTTTTTGCTGTAAATGTAAACTACAGGAATGGTTGCAACATTAAATGTACATTAAATTGTAAAGGGAAATTTAGATTTTAATAATACTGTAAATGAGCCAAGTCCAGTGTGCCTTTTTTCTGTTTCAAACCACATATTTAATACATATTTGATTCATTATCTTCTAGCTTCATCCTGGACTGATTATAAAGCGGTGCCATGTAAATTAATCATCCCAAACAACAGTGACATGTCTGATTTAATGATATCACCTGTAGGTGTAATCACAGTTGTATGTGTGCTTTCTTTTTCCTCTTTTCTTTTCTACACTGAACTAAGTGTTTTTTTTTTTTTTTTTTAAGAAAAGCATGATTTGGTCTAAGTACTTATTCACTCTGATGTTATTTCAATAAAGGTGTAGGGTCAGTGAGTCTATCTCAGGTTATTTTAGTACTGTGCACTCACACTGTCAACACTATGCAAGTTTGTTCTGTGACAATTAGTTATATATATATATATATAAATTGTTGGTGACATGACAGTACAATTGAGCCCTGTTGTATGTTTACAGTGTTTCTCTCAGCTTTCAGTTTGTGTGCATATTTTTGTTCAGCTGTTATTACTTAAAACCACTTCTGTGTGTTGTGGTCAACTTGTTTATAATTGCTTGCTGTTTTGTACATTTTTAGCCACACATTGCAATGTGTTTTACTATCAATTATTCTCTTGATTAATCATTGCCTGAAACATGTCATTTTATAAATGTCAATAAAATATTCTATAAAATAGTAAAAAATGTGATTATCGTGATTATACATTGGCTATTAAATACTTTATGATTATCTGCTCATTATTAAAGATGAACTGCCTCAGAAACAAAATGAAATCAATCTGACTGGACTAAATGTACTAGAGTTTATTCTATTACATGATTACTGATTTAATGCTGGTAGGAACTGCACAGTCTGCACTGTACGCTGGCTGCTGTTGGAAACTCAAGTGGAAAACTAATTGGGAGTAAAGCCAAATGTGTCTTAGTCCTTTTGTCACCAGTGAAATATAAGACTATTGAGACTGTCTTTAAATATTGACCAGTAGTCTGTCCCAATTTGCTCCTGTTGTATCCCTATAATATATGATAGTGGGAATCATAGTGTGTCTGCTGTAAGATTACATTGAGATTACACAGTCTGCTGTATTCTGTATGGTATTATCCCTAAAGGGACTTCAATATAGTTTAAATGTAATACGCAGTGATGCAAAGTAAGTACATTTACTCAAGAGTTGTTATAGAATACTTCTATATTACATAGGTAAAAACTTACTTTACATTTATCTGACAGCTTTGTTTACAGGATACTAATTCATTAAGATTATTCATACACAGCATGTGGTTACCTTTTTATTTATGATGCATTTGTTCATTTTAGTCTGTAGTTGATCCAATCCACAATTTTCTCAAAACATTAAGTATTTTAGCTGTTTTGGCATAGCAGGAGAGAACAATACCAACCTGTCTGGATCTAAACTCAGAATAATAAACTTTGTTAGATGTTGATCCCCCTCCACTGGAAGACTCTTCATCCACCCAGCTGGACTGAAAGAGGTGACCGAAAGTGGCTCCAATGATCACTTTGAGAGAGTTTGGGACCCATTTATAGAATACATTAAAGCCACAGCCCTTGCACCCTCCTGAATGTAACTCCACATAACTTGTTTGAAACTTGTTGTTTCATGATAAAATCATGAATTAAAATGAGTGATTTCTCTGAAGAAATTTGTTTTTTAGGACACAGAGAGGCAGAATTGACTGTATTTACTTTATATTTAACACAGTTAGCGACTGAAGCCCCACTGTATGGAGCTCCGGTGTGTAACTATACTCATGGCTGTCCTGTCTTTTGGTTTATTTTTCTTTTTGTATTGTTCTGCAGATGTTATGTATGTAAAAAAAGAAATCATTAAGTATTTTGCACCATAACTTCTTGTTTCATAATAAAAACATGAATTAAAATGATTGATTTTTCCATTTATTTCACACATAAAGGTAGAACTAACTGTATTTACTTCATATTTTGCACAGTTAGCGACTGAAGCCCCACTGTATGGAGCTCTGGTGTGTAACTAAACTCATGGCTGTCTGTCTTTTGATTTATTTTTCTTTTTGTATTGTTCTGCAGATGTTATGTATGTAAAAAAGCCAATAAAAATATAAGAAAATATTCTGAAATCAGGTGTCATTTTTCATAAAACAGTGCAGTGATGCACTATAACTTCTTGTTTCATGATAAAACCATGAATTAATGAATTGATTTTTCCAATTATTTTAAGAAACGTGTTATTTTAGGACACAAAGAGGAAGAACTGACTGTATTTACTTCATATTTTGCACAGTTAGTGACTGAAGCCCCACTGTATGGAGCTCCGGTGTGTTACTACACTCATGGCCGTCCTGTAGGTGTCCTGGGCGGGGAGAGTCCTCCTCATTTGACGTCAGGAGGAACAACTGTGTGCTCAGTTTTCTGGGGGGAAGAGGAAGAGCTACAGGACGTCTTCCTCCACAGCAGAACCTGGACGTCGAGGAGTCCGGACACTTGAAGCACAGACCGATTCAGCTCCAGCTGCTGTTATTCTGGTAACTTCCACAACGAGAAGCTCCGATGATAAAACACACCGGATACGAGCGCAGTCTGCAGGAGAAAGACTTCCGGCGGTGGGGGGATCGTTGCAGTCGATATTTACTCGAAAGCATCGGCATGTAGCAGCTCAGTGCTCAGGTATGTTAAAGCTTTTATGATGTGGTATGTGTGTGTTTTTTTTCTTGGGGCGTTACATGTGAGATTTGTTCGACACACAGCGTATAAACGTGTGGGCAGGTGTGATAATAAAAGGCTCTGGTGTATGAACGTGAACGCCACAGAAACACATTGTTCTGCTCATATTATTACAAGTGCTCTAAACTAATATGACATTACTGAAGTTGATCCCTTTATATAAACAGGTTTAGAGCCAACAGCTGTACAAATGTATTAGGCTGTTTGGCGCGTTTACTCGGTGTCCTTCCTGTTGTTAAGAAAAGTTGTCAATTCAGCTTTTCTAAAACATTTTTCACATTTTCAAATATATTTTTATATATCTAAATCGCGGACGCTGCAATATATAATCGCAATATAATGTTTTTAGTCAGTGTGTATGCATTTATTAGCCTAACTAACGTTAACAGGTTCCTGGAGGAGGTTTTTTGGCAGATTCAAAAATAAGTTTTAGTCATTTTATTAAAAATAACTCGACATTTTGGGAAATACTTATTCACTTTCTT